TTTAAATTTAACAAAATTTGAACTTTTCTAGAATCCTAATATATATATGTTTCATTCATAGACAAAAAAATTTTTTTGATTTTTTTTTTTTTCTGTTGTGGTTATACTGAGTTGTCCTATAATTGCAAATTTGAAAATATATAAAACAGTGCTACAGAGGTGATCTAGTATATTATTTTGTAGGAGTACATGGATCAGTGACTATTTCCTCTTATAAATGAAATTAAATGAAAAATAGTATAATGGTTTATAGCTTAGAAAGGGACATTTTGTAAGTAAATAATTGGCTGGTTCCGAATAGCCTAGGTAAGTATGTTAGCAGAGATGGTATATAGAATGTTAGATTAGGTGGAGCTCTCCATTTAGCTGTCCTCTACTCTTTATTTTTACTGTGAAATATAATGTACCTACCAAAAAGATGAGTAAAAGGTAAGCAATTTAATTAATAAATTATTCATTAGAATTTATTTTTTATAAGGCAGATATACTCATGTAACCACCATCCATGTGAAAAATAGGAAACTGCCCCAGAAGTTCTCATGTGCCTTTGCAGTTGCAAACCCTTTTCTCCCTGTTAAAACCAACCTGTCTCCTAACTTTCAGGGTACTGCTTTCTTACTTTTTTTGAATAATATTGCCACCTAAGTATGTCTCTCTAAATGCTAAGTTTAGATTTTATTTTTGTCTGCTTTGAATGTTGTTCTTTACTCTTAAATTTCTGTTCAATATCCATAGAAATCTTATGTTATTTAAATGTAAAAATATCTATAGAAATCTTATGTCATTTAAATGTAGAAATTAAAAAAAATTTTACCTTAATAATTTAGGAGAAAAAGATTGCTGACTTCTGCTTTAGGATATTATTAGTCAGACAAATTACAATAAAGCCAAATATATAAGCATGAAATAAGTATTTTCCCAGATAATCCATATTGTCTTTTTAACTTAGAGTCACCCTATTAGAATAATTAGTTAAATTACTGATTGTTATTTTCCAACATGAATTGTTATTTGGTTTGGGTGAATAGAAAAATGGCTTTTTCCAGTATTGGACATTTTTTATTAAAATTACCATTGGAATAATAATTTTCCAAATAATTCAATAAATTACTAATTATCAATACTTTTCTCATTAGACTAAAAGTCTATCATATATCCTTAAGATTTTATGAGTATTTTCATTTGATCTTTTAGAATTTTAAGTTGTATAGTTGTAAAACCTTATAAAAGAAAAGTTTAACATCCTGAATGTAAAAAATATGTATTCATTTCACATGTCAATTGATAGATTTTGGCTAGGTAAACCTGAACTGTTTACCATTCTTTAAAAAAATTAATTAGTTGACATTTGTCTTTATATAAATAGTGCTTGCTGAGTAGAGAAAACAGAAATAAAGATAAGTAGAAAGGAGAAAAAAAATATAGTCCGCCACTCTTAAAATTTAAAGTAGAAGATTTTAAGAGACTAATAAGTAACATTCCGTTGAGTGGCTTTATCATGATTTACTTAACTATTCTGCTGCTGCTGGGCATTTAAGGTTGCTTTTAGTTTGTTGCTTTTATAAATAACTTTCGGGGTACTGCTTTCTTACTATGATGGATGTCTTCATGCATAACTCTTCCCCCTGTATTTCAAACTTTTTTCGGTACAGAATTTCAGACATGGAATAATTTTGACAAGAATAGGATGCTCATATGTCCTTCATCAAGATTCACCAGTTGTTAACATTTTTCCATATTTGCCTTCTCTCAGTGTCTTTTCATATATGTAAGTATGTGTCACGTATACACATACAGATATAATACACATTTTTGGGGGAACCATTTGAAAATAATTTGCAGATATTATGGCACTTCACCTTTAAAAATTTCAGCCTGCATTTCCTAAAAGCCAGGACATTTTCTTACATAATAACCACAGTGCATTTTGAAGAAAATAACAGCGATTTCATATTATCATCTTACATATAAAGTCTAGAATCAGAAATCCTTGAATGTCCCCAAAATATCTTTTATTTTTTTAAAACCTAGGATCAAATTTAGGTTCATGCATTATATTTTTTAGTTATTATGTCTCATTAGTCTCAATCTTAGAATAGCTCATCTCTCTCTCTTTTTTTTTTTTTAAAACATGACATTGACTTTTTCAAAGAGCCCAGACCAGTTGTCTTGTAGAACGTCCTACATTCTAGATTTTTATTACTTAACCTGGTTTTGTCTTCATGATTATGCTCATGTTACATTTTTGCAAGAGTACTTAGTAGCTAATGTCATTTCCTCATTGCATCATATCAGGGAGATAAATGATACATAATGTCTGCTTGTCCCACTTTTGGTGGTCTTACGTTTGATCACTTGGTTAAGGTGGTAGCTGCCAGATCTTTGCATTGTAAAGGTACCTTTCTCCTTTGTAATTAGTAATCACTTGTGAACCTAATTATCTGTCTGTTTTGTGCTGACACCAAGGTGGCTGTGCACTGATAGATATTTGTGACATTATATATTCATGATTATTAATCTCACTAGATTCCTAGACTGCAAGATAATCCTACTGTGTTTCTCTAGTCAGCTTGTGTTCTCCCTTGCCACAATAATGATTTGAAACCTTTCTCAAAGATGTGTTCCTTTGCCTTTCGTATCACTTTGGAAAGATGATCTTGATTCTTTCTACTTCCTGGAAGAAAGAAAGAGATCCCCTTCTTTCATCATAAACCAGTATGGTGGAACAGTTAAGAGTGCTGGCAATAGAGCCTAGAGGGTGTTGGTTTGTATCCCACTTTCACTAACTCATTTTACCGTTGGCTTAGTTATTAATCATTCTATTTTGGTGTTCTCAATTGCAGAAGAGCTACTACCATTGTACCTCATAGAGTAGTGAGAATTACATGAAGTAAATCATTGTAAAATGCTTAACTAGCATGGTGCCTGGTATATAATGCATATTCAATAAATATTAGCTCTTATTATTACCATTTCTTAAGAAACTTACTATGTTAATTATTCTATTTCCTGTATCTCCAGCCTCTCCCATTCTGTTGACTTCTTTTCATAAACACTTAAGCTTATTTTAAGATATTTTCTGTCTTAAGCTAACTAACTAACTAACCAACCAATAACTAAGATACCTTTCCTGCACCTCATATCTCTCTTCAGCTTTTGTCCCGTATCCTCTATTCACAGTCATATGTCAACTGCCTATATTTTTTGTATCCCTTTCTTTCTTTCCTATATACACATCCCATTATGTTCTGGTTTCTGCTCTCATCGTTCCACTAAATTACCCTTGATAAAGTCACCGTTATCTCTCTAAATTCATTTTTATTACCCTTTAATCTTAGTGCTTCCATTTCATTCTACACAAAAGATCAAAGTGATCTTTTAAAAATGCAGCTCTAATCTCATTCTCTTGTAAAAACTAGTAGATTTTTATTGTTGACATAAAGTCTCAATTCTTTAATATAGTGCACAAGGTCCCATCTAACTGCTCATCCTTATCTTGTACAAATTTCCTTTTCACTCTTAGCACTTGAACCAGGCAAGTACTTTAATTTCCTTGAACAGGTTTTTTACTTCTGTCAGAGCCATTTGCATTTTGTCCCCTTTTTCAGACAACTCTCTATTTTCCACCTGTTGACTTTGGATAGTGCCTATCCTTCTTTGAGGTTTCAGCTTCATTGTCATTCTCAGTAAAACCTTCCCTGACTTGGCTCAGAAGTGTAGCCATCTGTACTTTTCCTTCGTATCACTCATCGCGATTGTAATTAAATAATTAATTGGGTAATTCTTCTCTGGAATGTAAACTCTGTGAAGGCAGGAACTGTAACCATCTTGTTCATTGCTGAATATCCAGGCTCTACTAGTAGAGTTGTTTTGCTAGCAGGTATTCAGTAAGTATTTATTGAAAGAAAAATGAATTATTTTTAATCATTCGGAGAAATGTCACTCATCTTTTTATTTTTGAATGTTAATTTTAAAACCTATAGATCAATTTTTTAAAAACTCAAACTGTTTGGTGTTTCAGTGTATTCTGCGGAGGTTCCCCTGAAGACTTGTACCCCCTCCTTTCAGATGGTGTGAAGATATAGCCCCGAGTGGCTGCATAAACAAGTGGTTTCTTTGAGTTCTATTTGATTTTTAATTTTAAATACAGGAGCACTTTACTTTCTGTTTCTCAATATTCTTGTTTGTTAAACAAACAGTGCCTCAAACTGGTACCAGGGAGTAGAATAGACACTCTTGTGATTAAACATTTCCAATTCTTTCAGCCATTCCTCATTTGACTTTGTTTCAAGTGTACTTGGTTGCCTGTTTATGCTACTGCAGAAGCTATAGTCCATGGTTCTAGTACTGAACAAAGTTCTTGAAGTACTACCAGCACAAAGATGTATTGAAGGAGTGATGGGCAAAATGTAATGAGGCAGAAAGCTGAAACAGCTTGCATTTATCAGTTTTACTTTTGAAATTGGTATATAAAAGTATAATAAAAGTAAATATATTAAATTGACCTACTTTTAGAAATAAGGTAAAATTAAATCTTTATCTTAAGACTACATAGGCTTAAGACTGTAGATGATGTACTGTTGCACCCTTAGTTTTAACAGTGTTTTCTAAATAACAAATGCTAAAAGAAAAACAGATTTTTTTGTGCAGAAGGTGGTTGCCTCAGTGATGAGATGAGCAGATGTGTATCGTTGTTCCACTGTGTGAAAAGGCACAGATGAGTTACCAAGAATCCAGCAGCTGTACATGGGCGTGACCACAGTTGTATTATACTAGATAGATTCTGAAGAAAATTCCAATTGAAGTGAAATACTTTACTTTGTAATGTATATTTGAGAATGGTTAGGTAAATTTTTTACTTATGATATTTACTATTCTAGTTAATTGCTTGGACTGAAATTTAGAATTCCTGGAGGTTTTCATTTGTTATAGTTTGTGATGACTTCATGTATTATACAATGTTTAGTACTGTATGTATTAATTATTTATGTGTGTAACAGGCAACTCAGAGTTATGTTGACGAATGTCCTATGGACGGATTTAGGACGAAAATTCAGAAAGACCCTACCTAGAAACGATGCTAATTTATGTGATGCCAGCAAGGTGCAATCAGACTCATTGCCTTCGACATCTGTTGACAGCCTAGAGACATGTCAAAAATTAGAACCTCTTCACCAAAGCCTTAATTTATCTAAAAGGTATGTTGTTCAGTATTGATTTTGTTCAACTTACCACATTATGAAATAATATAAGTCCATCCCCACTAGACTTAAAAATAAAATTGTTGGAAATGAACTTTAAGAAAATCTGCATATGCAGATGTGCCCCATTGAAAACAAATCTTAAATCTGACAATATTAATTTATAAACTTACTGATAGTTATATACTTCATCAAGTAGATTGATTGAGTTATTTTTAAAAATAAGTGTCCGTACATTTAACTTCATAATTTGAGTAATATATTTTTAGAGAACTATTTATGATTTAAAATGAAGAGATATATATAAATAGGTAACAACTTGGATTAAATGACATCTAAAAGGTATATTACATTTTTTTTTACTTTCTGCATCTTTAACATATCTTTTAGTTGTTATTAATCTAGGTCCTTAACGCCTTTCGACTGTTTTGAGCTTTCTTTTTAAAAGAGGAGATGATATTGAAATATTACTACCAAATTTTTTTGTATAAATATGCAGTTTAATTTTGAAAACTAACAAGACCAGATTTGTTTTGTATTTTTTAAAAGAATTATGTATGAAGCTTCGAGCTGAAAACTAGGAATTAGTGCTGGGACTTTGTGATCTGTAACAATATTTTTAATGTATTTCCAATTTACAGTTTTAACCCTTACATGAATAGTTTTAGGGAGAGGTACTTTGCTTTCATTTAGCATAACCTGTTTTAGCTAGATAATGCTTTGGTTATGTGATCTGTAATCTGAATGACAATATTTAAGTGTTTTAAGCCAAGATTCAGATAAAACCCACTAACTTTCAAAACGGTTATTTTAAAAATAAAAGTAGAACTCTGTCAAAACTTCTGAACATAGTATTATACATTAATTTAAAAAAGGGCACTCCTTTTAAAAAAGGTGAAAACGTAAAAAAGCTAAGTAATGAGAGTATCCTTACTAGATGTAAGGATACTTGATGTAAATTTAACTTTGTAAAGCACCATATATCTTAGAGTCAAACAACTTAGCTTCAATAATTTATGAAGCAGTTTGCTTTCATTCTTCTGGATTCTAGCATTTTTCCTTTTTAGTATGGGTGAATTATTCCCTTACTGTGCTGATAGATCTAAATAAAAGGGCTAGTTAAAAGAGTAGCCCTTCCAATCCCTTTGATTCTTTTGAAAAGAAGATTCAATTCTCTTCCAAATGACAAGCTCATCAGTCCCCTCATTTCATGTCTGTTCTTTTTCAGCTAGAACAGTGTAATGTTCCATCCTCTTAGAACAGTTTTTTTCACCAGGAATTGGTAGTAGCTAGGTTATGTGTTCATGAAATTTCAATATAATATGAAGAGTCCCAATAATATTTGAATTTGGTTTTTACTATCTATGAGTGCTTTTTTTTTTTTTTTTGATTCACTTCCTGGGGGGAACTACTAGCTAATCTAGAGTTTTTTTCTCAGCTCCCCGTGTCCTCAATTTAACTTGTTTTAAGTGAATGCATCATCTTTGTTTTCAGATTTATTTCTATATCTGTATCCCCTTCCTGTCTGAATATGACTGCTCTATACACTCAATTTTCCATATTAGAACTAAATTAGAACTTGTGAATTGTCCTAAGTCCTCCTTCTTCCTTATCCTTCATATCCAGTCATTCATCATGTCTAGTTATTTTTACCTCCTAAGCCTGGAAATGATCTCTTCTCTCTTTATTGCCACTACCTCAGTTCAAGCCCTAATAACTTTGTGCCTTTATTACTACGATAGTGAATGGATTGGGCTTCCTGTGCATAGTCTTTTTCTTCTCGGTTATTTTCCTATATGGTTGCCAAAGTATTCATTCTAAAAGGCACATATTACTTGCCACTCTCTGGTTTAACATCTTTCTGTGACTCCACATAACCTTGAGTATTAAGTTTGAACTCCTTGACTTGGCATACAGTGTCCTTAATGATCTCACTTTTGCCTGTCTCTAGCCTTGCATCTGTCTATTCTTCCACATTTATACTGTGTTTTAGACTTAGGTAACTGTTGGTAGCTCACTGAATATATAATGCCATTTTATATGCAGTTTGTTCCTTTTTCTTGGAGGCAATTCTCCTTTTTGTTTTTACTTACTTCTATTGGTCTTTAATATTGATCTCATATGTCATCTTCTTGGGAAGCCTTCCTTGATTCCACCCCTCCCCCACATCTGCACTTGATCCCTTTCTTTGTTTTACTAAGCAGCCAGTTCATGTATCATAGAACTTGTTACACTATATTGTGATTTTTATTTTCTCTACCTCCCTGACAGTAAATTTCACGAAGGCAGGAACTACATATTTAAAAATTTTTTCTCTATTACTAGTACCCAGCACATACTACATATTGAACACAAACTAAATGCACATACTAAATCGTGGACACATACTAAATGCTCAATAAATGTTCGCTGAATACAAGGAAGAGATTGTTTCTCAGCAAAGTTACATCCCCAGTCTTTTTGAGTGGGGAATGTAGTTTCTTCCATTAGAACCAATTATTTGCTCTGTAATTTTGGTGGATTAAAAAAACAGGAAAAGAGATATTACAAGCTTCAAATAAGCAAATTGAAGAACTGTTTAGGATATGGCTCTGGGTAGATATTTTCTGTCTGGGACGTGCTATCTGGAGTAGGAGACTTATGCTTTCTTTAATCTTTGCTTAATTTTGACATGATGCTTTTTGTCTTATTTCTATATTTACTTGGGACTTCATCATTTCAAAAAGATGAAAGGGAGAAAAACTTAGTTTTGTTTTAAATTTTATCTTAAAGTTTAACTATAGAGTAAACCAAAATTATTCATTTAATCCTAGAAATGACATTTTGTTAGAAATCTTATTTGCATTTGGGATCTAAAGGTAGTGATCTAAGTATGTTGCCTTTTATGTGAGGACAATTTAGCTTTTTAATTTCTGGATAAGATTAAGAAAAACAGAAAACATATGATAAAGAAAAGAATCAAGAGTTAGAAACATCAAACTAGCAGTATGTGCAATGCACAAATTTCTTTTTAAATAAGCAAACCATGTTTTAGTATAGGTTTTATCTCCATATGTGGTTTTACGTCTGTTTTCTTAGGGGAAAATTTCTAAACATTTATGACCTTTGATCAACAGGCAAGAAAGAGCCTGATGTAACACAAATACAGGGCTGTTGAAAAGATAAACCATCTTTCTCCTGCTTTCATCAGTTGGCATCAGAGATTTTTGAGAACTATGGAAACAATATACTCGTATTTAATTAAGAAAAGTTAGCTCCGGGTTCTTGAAATGCCCTAAATGCTATAATTATATTTATTCATATTTTTCTTAAGATTTACATATGTTTGAAGTTTTTAAAAGTACATATTCCAAATATTGTTATGGCAAGACTTTTTGGATACTACAGTATTTCTTTCACCTTAAGACTTCTTTAAGCCAGTAATATTTTACTTGAGTGATAATTTATGCACTTAAAATTTAGCTTAGTAAAAGAACAAATTCAGAAAATCTGTGAATCTCTTTAAGAAAGTTATTCAAAAATTAAATTTTTTTTCTCTACATAGCTTAAGAGATTGATTTAGAAAGTATGTTTTGAATTATATCTTCTTGGATAAGGATGGATTTATGAGAACCTTATTAAAATATCACATAGCACAGTTTTAGAAAGATATGTAAATTACAGCAAAATGAAAACTAAATTAATATTATAATGTTTTTGCTTGTTATAGTATAGCTTTATTACCAGATGTAATTATGTTATCTTTCAACAAGGGTTACATTTATTTAAAAATTTGCTATTGATATGAAGTTTATATTAATAGCTCTTATCACTTTTTTCAAAGTTTTCCTTCATTTATTAAATTCTTTGAATCTTACATTTTCCTTGCTACTTATGCAGAGAATGAAACTACAATTTATAATTGAGAAAATTAAGAATCAGAGAGAATAATCATGCAGAGACACAATCAATAAATGGCATTACTTCTCAGGCCAGCATACTTTCTGCTTCATCTCAGCACATTATAAAATGTGTTTTTTCTTTGGTTTATCATATTATATTTTTAAGTGTAATTTCAAAATATTATTAAAGTTAAATTCTGTCTTATTTTACTGATACTCTTTACATACTTGGAAAAAATTGGAAAGACTGTGTGAAATGACAATTTTCAGTCCTTCTGTATGGAAATCATATGAGAGATGAAGTATACACCTTTATATATTTCTTGTAAAAATTCAGAATCTCTTGAAATGCTGGCTATTCCTGGAATTTCCATAGTAGTGCTAATTTATATAATTGTACACCAAAAGACAGCTTTGGTATTATGAACTTAGTCATCACTTTATAGATTTGTATTCTGTAAGACTGTCACACAAAGTTCTGTTTCCTCAAGATACTCAAATTGGTTAAGTTGCCAAGAGTTGATGAAAGATGATTGGGCTATGGCTCTGTGTTATGAAGAGCTGGGTGTACTATAGGCATTGTTAACTATTTAGTTATTTTTTCAAATAAGATATTTTCATCAAGATTGCAGAATATAATAAATTATGACAATTAAGCATTATTCATAAAAAAGTAATTTATAACTTTGAGCAAGATTTCAATAATAGGAAAATTAAAGCGAGTTTACATTTACTGTGCACTTATTATTATGTAATTATATACTTATTATGTGCCAGGACTTGTGCTGTTTTACACCTTAACAATTTGTAAGGTAGATATTATTCTTACCATTTTAGAGTTGAGGTCAATGCTAAAGGACATAAATTAAGGTAAGTAATTTGCTTAAGGTTATATATAATTAGTTATTAGGTGCTCAAATCAGAATCCGACCCTTCGTTTGTCTGACTCCAGAGCTTTTACTCTTAATTCCTGTGCAATACAACTTTTCACTCTAATGAATTTTAATTTTTTTCTATAAGTAAAGTAGAAATCAGACTTTATTATATATTTTAGGTAATATCTAATTCATCAACCTTTGAATATTCTGCTTATTTTTTAACTTTGTGGCATTTGCTCACATAGTAATTGAGTGCTTTCTAATTGGGAGATATACCATCGTAGACATGCTTGAACCTTTTGATAGCTTCACAGGCCCTGTAAGATTTTTGTGCTTTAAAGATGTGTATTCTACTGCAGCGTGATATATAATCTTTTCAAATGGTTTTTGGGTGAAATTTGAAATTTTTCTTTTCTAGAAAAATTTTAGCTACTCATTTAACTTAAAGGGTCTCATTTATCTTTCGAAGTTTTTTTCCCTATCTCTTCTTTGCTTTTTCTTTCTTTCTCATCTATCAGCAAAACCATACAAGAATAGTATCATCATTTATTATTCAGAAGAGAATTCTAATCTTGAAAAAATTTCCCTTTCCTTGCTGATATATGAACTATCCCCCACACCCCCCCACCCCGCTACGATTATTCTCTTTAGCATTTTGTATAGGACTAATCTTCTATGGATAATATCTCCCCTACTTAGAGAGACAGCTTTTTTTAGAGACTCAATATTTTAAAACAAAGTTAAACATACTATAGTTAGGCATTTAAATAGAGATACTAAATGATCACTGACATTTCTTTGATGTATCTCCTCATATGCCCCAAATTTTCTCTTAAATGTTACAGTTTCTGAATGATTTTTTATTATGAGACATATTTTAGAATTTAGTAATGATAGGGGACAATAACTAGAGTATATCATCAATTCTTAGAATGTTACCAATTTAGTATATCAGATTCTCTCATGTCTTAAAAGTGAAATTTTATTTATACTATGATATTTATCTGGAAAGGAATAATTCTATCCTGAATAAAGTTTTCTCTGCTAATATTCCCATATTTTTCTTAAAGTATTGAGAACCACAGATGAGGTTTTTTTTAATGATTCATTTCATAGCAATTTCTCATGTGAGGTCACATATAAGAAATCTTAAGTTCCCTTCCTGGTCCTATATCATCCCCATTCCCACTTCACATCCAGGATTTCAAGGAAGGTTTTGTCAGGCATCACATATTCAAAGCAGACAATATTAAATAAGATTCTTAGAGACAAATGCAAGGAGGTAGCAAATATCTCTGCCCTCTCCTCCTCACAATTAGTGGTTGTATTAGATGACACACTTCCTTTCCCTTCTTTCTTCACTTAAACTCTGAGTTCAGGGAGTTGTAATTACTACTAGTCTTTGCTTTTAGATCATATATATTACTTAATTATTGAAATTTTTTTTTGTGGTGGTTATGCTGGAAATAGACATTTTCAAAGATTTCCTGAAGTTGTGATAGAAAAGCTTAGTTTCTGGATCCTTTGATAAATTAGTACTGAGGATACAGTGTAATGGAATAACATTTTAAAAAACTAGAAAATAATAGCCCCAGGTTCTTCTAGGAAGAGATACTTACTTGGGCAAGCATTTAACTTCTCTGAGCTTTGAGTTTTTATGTTTAAAGAGAAAACTAAATTATTTTAAAATTCTAAGATCTGAGATTATATGCTGTCTGGAACGTAGTGAAAAGAGCATAGTACCTCTATGTAGAGAAAATAAAGAGTACATCTTTAAGTACTACAGCAAATATAAGTATGGGAAGCTCACATTTTTCACTCAAACAAAAGTACTTTGGTTTTGCTAAGTGTTGTTTATTGTCTCTCATGAAGGGCCAGCCAAGTGATGCTAATGGCATATTGATAACAGTGATATGAAAACAGAAAAATGCAGTAACAGTAACTTAAAAAATTACAATAATATGCTTGCGTCAGTCAATTCAGGTCTAAATTGTTGCCTTGAGGGCAGCATTGTAGTATGGTGAAGTATGTCAGTTGTTCATAGCAACAACTGGCTAACCAAGAAAAGATTGTATTATTCTTTTCTGTTTAAGAAGACACCAGGCTTACATAGTACATTTGTTATGAATCTTTCCAATTTAAAATGTTTGGAGTTTTAAAAACACACCTTAATTTCCTAAACATTTAATATCGACTCCTTACCTGATGCTATTATGTAAAACTTATATATTACCGTCAGTATATGTGTGATTTCACTTATGGAATTTGTTATTATCATAGTTGTAATCCAAATGATGTCTGTTTTGTTGGATGTAGCATTTATCATTTGCTTATTGCAAGTATGTAATTACTTACCAAGGACCTTTATGTTGAATGATAGAAATAAAATTTCTTGATTTGTAGTAATCTTTGTTTTTAATATGATTGGAAAAAAGAAAGCAGTTTTTGAGAAAAATTATTAAAAAATTTTAAGCACCTCAGAAGCATCTGTTGTTACAGTTAAAGCCATTGTAGTGACAGGCTAATCTGTGCCAATTTATATGACACAAGTACTTTTAGAAACAAAAAAAAGTGTGTTCATCCAAAATTTTGAGTATTTACAGGTTGATATCTAGGGTGGTGTAATTCTTACAGCTTAATTGTGTCAAGATGAAAATGTTTGAAAATTTAGCTTCTTAGAATATATTCTTTACTGCAAACTTCAGTACAGTACAGTGTTTGTTATTTTGTGTGACAGGATACCCAGAGTTATATTGACGAATGTCTTGGGAACGGAGTTAGGAAGAAAATACGTAAAGACTTCTCCTGTAACTGAGGCAAGTTTGAGTGATACAGACAACTTGCAATCAGAGCAGCTTTCTTCATCATCTGATGGCAGCCTAGAATCTTGTCAAACTCTAAATCCTCACAAGAGCTCCCTTTTATCTGAAAGGTATGTTTAGTGATAACTTTACTCAAAATAAATATCATACTTATTTTCATGAGCCCTTTTTTATTCTCCCCCCCACTGATATGTTATTGCTAAATGTGAGGCAAATGCACTCTGATGGCTAGTATTACTTTCTCTCCTGGTGGCTGGAATGGGTGTTGGAACTGACAGTCCATGGCTAACAATGAGTTTCAGAAAAGTATCCATCGCTCTACTTGTGTTTTGGGAAAAATGAATTCAGATTCTTGATGAAAGTTTAGTTACTTATTTCAGTATTTCAATTTTTTTTGTCTGTTATAATTAAAATACATTCCCCTGACATGTGTCTGTCCCTCCTCCTCTTTCTTATCTGTCCATCTAGCTGGCCAGCTGTTCATCCATCTATCCGTCCATCCATCCATCCATCCATCCATCCATCCATCCATCCATCCATCCATCCATCCATCCATCCATCCATCATGTCTTATTTACTGTTTTTTATGTCCAGATTCTAGAACTGCACCTGGTGCTTAGTGCTCAGTAAATATTTGCTGTATGAGTGGCTGAATGTATTCCTCACAAAAATGGTTTAAGATAGTCTGATTCCATTAATAAATGTTGCTTACTGTGCTATTATAAGAGAAATAGAAATTTGAAGTTGCTTTTGTTTTAAATTCCAGAAGAGGCTCATGAGAGGACAGTAAATAAGAAATAAATTGTGGGAAAAGGCTAGGGGATGTCAGTAAATACTAATAGACCTTTTAACTTTAATTTTATCATGAACTTCTTTTAATTTTATACTTTCAGCCAATACAATAGTTTTGATCTGAGTGAAAATTTTTGATCCAGTCTTAATTGTTTTATTTTCCCCCTGCACTACCCAAAGATAACTTCTGGTTTGTATTTTTCTCGTAAGCTTAATTACATTAAAGAGTATTTATAGTTGCCTCTTTAAAGATCTATAACAAATTTCTTACATTTCTAACACATTTTATTTTTAGAAACATTTCTTATGAACTTAAATTTTATGAATTTTTCTCCTTTCAAAAAATAGTTTTCACCTAGATTCTGCTTTATGAATTGTCATTGTTTATCAGTGACAATTTTAACTTTATACTTTATTAGATCTCTTTCTGAATTTGCTGGAAAAAATGAGTTTCAGGGGCATTATCTAGTTACTAATAAATTTAATTAATGTATAATTAGGGATATTGGAAACATTTATCATTTTGTACTATAAGTGTTTATTTCTGCCTCCTCTACTAGACCACGGGCTCCTTAAGGAGAGATATCATGTATTATTTTAATTTATACCCCATGCTTAGCTCAATACATTTTAAATTTTGTGCACTTGGGTTGATATTAATGTCATTTAACCTTGACCTTTGGACTTTTGAGTTGTAAAAACAAAAAATTTTGAAAGAGCTTTCTACTTCACAAAATTCTTTATTATCTCTTTTAAATCTCAACATCTGAGTAGACTGAATCAAGAACTGGAAAATCTAGATAGACCAATCAGCAGTATGGAAATTGAAACAATCATCAAAAACCTACCAAAAAGTAAAACTCCAGGACCAGATAGCTTCACCAGTGAATTCTATCAAACATTCAAAGAAGATTTAATACCTATTCTCTTCAAACTCTTCCAAAAAAACAAACAGGAGGCAATACTTCCCAACTTATTTTATGAGGCCAATATTACCTTGATACCAAAACCTGGTAAAGATAAGACAGAAAAAGAAAACTATAGACTCAGTAGCTCTCATGAACACAGAAGCAAAAATCCTAAATAAGATGTAGTGAACCGAATACAGCGACATATGAAAAAGATTATACACCACAATCAAGTGGACTTTCTCCCAGAGGCACAGGGCTGGTTCAACATATGCAAATCAATTAAGGTGATATACCACATAAATTAAAAAATAAGAATCATATGATTGTATCAATAGATGCAGAAAATCCTTTGACAAGATATAGCATCCATTTATGATCAAAACACTTAACAAAATCGGTATAGAAGGAAAGTAACTTAACATAAGGCCATATATGACAAACCTTCAGCCAATATTATACTTAATGGTGAAAAACTAAAAATCTTCTCTCTAAGATCAGGAACAAGACAAGGCTGTCTACTATCACCACTGTTATTCGATATAATGTTGGAGGTCCTAGCGAGTGCAGTCAGGCAAGAGAAAGATATGAAAGGCATCCAAATAGGAAATGAAGAAGTCAAACTGTCACTATTTGCAGATGACATGATTCTCTATACAGAAAACCCTAAAGACTCCACAAGAACACTACTAGAAATAATAAGTAAATACAGTAAAGTCTCTGAATACAAAATCAACATTCAAAAATCCATAGTGTTCCTATACTCTAATAATGAATTGTCAGAAAAAGAAGTGGAAAAAATAATTCC